GTGGGCCCTGTGCTCACTGCCCAGCACCATAAAGCTTGATCGGCATTTTCCACTGAACACCAGAATTGGCAGGTCCGCCACTGGCGCTCTGTGCTTTTCACAGATGTGCTTAGGATAAACCTGTTTTCATGTGACAGACGTGAAAGGTTCCGGAGAAGCCATGGAGAACGTTATGCTGCCTGTAACATCGTTCAGCATGACAGTTTTGGTGGTGGGTCAGTGATGGTCTGTGGAGGCATATCCATGGAGGGACGCACAGACCTCTACAGGCTAGACAATGGCACCCTGACTGCCATTAGGTATCAGGATGAAATCCTTGGACCCATTGTCAGACACTACACGCTGGTGCAGTGGGTCCTGGGTTCCTCCTGGTGCACGACAATGCCTGGCCTCATGTAGCGAGAGTATGCAGGCAGTTCCTACAGGATGAAGGAGTTGATACCATTGAATGGCCCACAGGCTCTCCTGGCCTAAATCTAATAGAACACCTCTGGAATATCATGTTTTGGTCCATCCGACGTTGCCAGGTTGCACCTCAGACTGTCCGGGAGCTCAGTGATGCCCTGGTCCAGATTTGGGAGAAAATACCCCAGGACACCGATATCCATCATCTCATTAGGAGCATGCCCCAATGTTGTCAGGTATGCACAGAACCATGTGGTGGCCACACAAACTACTGAGTACCATTTTGAGTTGCTGCAATAAAATTTCAGCAAAATTGAGTAGCCTGCTGCATCCTTTTTTCACTGTGATTTTCAGGGTGTCTTTGAATTCAGTCCTCTGTAGGTTGATAATTTTCATTTCCATCAAACAATGAGGCATTCTTAACACATTACCCAGTCCATATCAGTATAGATACCCAGCATGAGATTTTTTCCTCATTGAGATCTGATGTGTTTTCAAAGTGTTCCTTTAATTTTTTTTTTTTTTTTTGACCAGGGTATAATGTGGATCTGCAAGGTATGTGATCTGAGTCACCAACAGGAAACTCCTGACTCAATTAGGTGAGGGATCAGGGCATGTCAGATCAGGGTGTAAATTTCTCTTATCTTCTTGGCAATTATAACCTGAATGAGTAACATCATGTAAATTACCTGGATGCACAATAAACACAAATAGATTCACACCTTTCCAGATTGTAACAATAGACTGTCATTTAAATAGATGAGGTGATCAATCATCATGGACCAGACTGGTCATAAATAGCTGGAAAAGCTAAGCCAAGCACAATTTACAGCAAAATTGAATGTAAAACATTAGCATAACCACCCTTTCTGTAAAACAGAATTCTTGTTTAGTAGCTGTAATTCAGTCATCAAGCTTTTTTAAACCATAGCAACGATGGCCCAAAGAAAACATAGTGCCCTCCGGCACTGTTAAATGCAACATCACCTTCTTAAAGCAGAACTGAAGTCCATGAGCTGTGCTCCAGTAATGAGCTTCCTCCATGGATCCATCAGTACAGTTGCTGCTTCTTTCAGTTCCAAAGCTCGTATTCAACCATTGGGAGGCCACAGATGTTGTAACTGCTGCACAGGCACAGAGCAGTTGCATTGTACCCGGCACCCAGCTCCATTTTTGCCATCTTTCACATGCTGGAAATAACTTGGGATTATACATAATAAAACTACTAAGTGTATGCAGGAAAAAAACTCTACCAAAAAAAAGAAAAAAAAGCCACTCACTGTGGGTTCCTCAGGAGTTCCTTGAGCAGTGGCTGATTGTTCTTCCTTCTGATGGTACCTGCATAGTTCTGGTGCCAACTACACCTGGCATAGCAACAAAGACCACTTTAACGGTCTCTAATTGTGACATTACCACTGGTGCCCCAATAATATAGTTTGTTCACCTGTCTTCAGATGTAAAAGGCATTCTTCCTATCACGGACAACAACATAAGGGGCAAATTCCTCAATGACTCCCAAATGTAAGCATACACCTCTTCTACCTGCCACCTTGTAAGGGGCTCCTTCAATGAACACTAATGTAAGGAGGCATTTCTCCACTGACCACAAATGTAAGGCAGCCTTGTCTATTGCTTTTCTATTTTTCCATTTTAGTTTGTAAAATAGTTACCAAAAATCCTTTTTATCAAATAAAGTAGGGGCTGTTAAAAAGTATCCACCTTGGGTGTCAAGTATTGTGGGTATGTTATATCATTTATCATTATATCTACTACAACATACAAGACTTGCTAATGTACCAGGAGCTGTAGATAATTTATAGCAGGGGGTTTCTGTGACCTGAAAATATGTTTAAAGGTTTCTCTGGGGCTAAAAGGCTGCCCTCCCTGCAGAACTTTAGTTTCGCTTTAAAGCGACCCTGCAAGGATTATAGAAGATTGAAAAGAAAGTTCTCTGCAATAAGTGTGTTTATACTCGCCACTCCAGGAGCCCGTGACACCTACTTTGACCCAGCATTGCAACCCTGTAAGTCTTTTTCACAAGCATCACTTTTGAAGTGTCTTCTGTTTCACACCATGCTCCATCCTCTAAACTACATCACTGCGGACTGCTGTAGTGACATCAGTAGGTGGCGTCATGGCATGCAGTGGGGAATAGGCACCCTGCTAGCAAGCCTATAGTGACAATATATAGCATCGCAATCCTTTGATTAACACTGCTTTCAAACAAAAACAGTTACCTTAAATTTAATGTAAAAAAAAAAAAAATGGAAGACTCACATGAACACAATTCAGAGATAGTAAAATATAATTTTTATATACATTTAGATGATCTAAGATACAATCAGTTAAAAGTACAATGAAAAATGAGAGCCATGGTAAAATCAACTTTAAATACATGGGAGTTATTCACACAAGGCACCTTGGTCATGCATTTTGCTTCATTGAACACCCCCCCACCCAGAAATACAAAATGAGGTGCATATTATATATATATATATATATATATATATATATATATATATATATATATATATATATACACATATATATACATACATACACACACACATATATATACATACATACATACATATACACACACACACACACTGCAAGTGTACAATCCAAATGCACACATTCCTGCGTTAAAAATAGCTGTGTGTATAAGTGGGTGCTGCAGCGACCATTGGCTGGAACCGAACAAAATCAGCGAGGAAAAAGGTCGCCAGCACACCGAGGATCACCAATATGGGTCCAAAGGTTTTAATGAATGATCATATAGTTACAGCAAGGCAACGTTTCGGAGTCTCGCAGGACCCCTTCATCAGGCATGTGTGACCAAATGCCTGATGAAGGGGTTGTGCGAGACTCCGAAACGTTGCCTTGCTGTAACTATGTGATCGTTCATTAAAACTTTTGGACCCATATTGGTGATCCTCGGTGTGCTGGTGACATTTTTCCTTCCTTATACACATACACACACGCGACTTTGCTCAGCCCTGCCGCCCTATAGCAGTAGTTCTGCTATAGGGCAGTTGGGAAGCAGTTAAAAAAACCCAAAACACACACGCACGACAAGCACGCTTCGCCAACACTTTGTTAGGATGTTGTGGCTTTTGTCAATGCCCGTTTACTCATTAGTGAGATTTCTCCTCAATTCCACATGAATTCCAGACAGGGATTCATTCTAAACTTTTCCACATGAAAGATAAAGAAATGTTGATTTTAGTGAAGTTGTATTCAATATGTATTTCATCTCTTCAACAAACCTATAGTCCAAATGGCACAGACATCCTAATGCTAGGTTCACACTTAAGCATTTTGCAGGAACACAGTACAGTCCATTTAACATGATTTCCTATGGGACATGTTCACACCCATGCAATTTCACCTGGTGCACTTCTTGGAAAGGGTCACTGACTTTTTTTTTTTTTTTTTTTTTAAACACAAAAAGCTGCATTTCTGTTTCTATAGACTTCAATGAAAATGCTGAAAAGCATGCATTGCATTTTTGATGCATGTGTTTTAAATCTGCCTAGCAACAAGAAAAAAAAGAAAAAAGAAAAGCATCAAAAACGCAAAACACAACGTAAAACTGCTCAAACGCAACCTGCATAGGTGTGAACCTAGCCTTATAGTTAAAACATTGTAGGGCACACATTGTTCCCTTTTTTTTCATATCTCTATAATCTAGCTATGACTACAGCATCTTAGTAAGCACTACAAAAGAGAGTAGATTATGTCTTCAAGAAATAAAATCGAAACAGCAATTGCTTTTAAATCACTAAATCTACACAAAACTGAATTGTCTGTACTGATCTTGGCATTTAGGAGTAATTTTTTTGGCTCTTACATTTGCCTAGGATCTCCTCCTCGACATAGAAATATAATATACCAATTACTTGGTCAATATCCCCAACCAAGCAGTGCTCAATCATCACAAAGAGTGAAAAGACGAGCAATGTAAAAGGGTGGCACGGAATCATTGAGGGTGTGGTTACACCAACTTTCCTGCAGAAGATTTTGTGTATTTCAACCAAATGTACTCATGGGACCCCTAGTAATCACGTGCTGTAGCAGAGTTTCTATCATTTTTATCCTGGCTGAAGGTTAAAGAAGGCACTATGTTGGAAATCTTCTTGGTCAACTGGTAATTACTTTAAATGGGATCATCAGGGAAGGTTCAAAAGCCACACCTTTGCTTCTGGCCCCTCTTTGCACTCGTATTGTAGCTACTGCAATGTGAACATCACTAAGCAATAGTGGCAGAAGCAGCAAAGAGGAGGCATATAGGAGTTGTCATTGCTAGCTTGCTTTTAAAAGGCACACACTCCAAAATGGTCATCCTAAACCTTGCTTTATTACCTAGCGAGTTAATGACTTGGGACATGTATGCATCTACCCATGCAATTCCAATATGGCATAAGCTTCAACCCCTTGCTACTTGCCGATCGCCATACCTATGTATACACACAGCCTGTCAGCAAGTGGTATACCAAGATCATGGCTGGTATCAGATGTAACTTCCATATACAAAAGAACATTTGATATAGTTACAAAATTGATTTGTGCTTCACATATCAGATAGGATTTATTTATACATGGTTGGTCTTCTTTTGCTTTGTGGAATACGATTTGGAGTTGTGCACGCGAACCCTCTGCTGTACAGAGGAAGTTATTTTCATGGAGGTTCTCTTTCCTGGGGACAAGTCCTTGGCTTTCAGTTTCCACAACAGCAACTGTGCATCCTCGCCACCAGTTAGCAGAGAATTGTCGTCCACACACCAGTAAAATGACCGTACAGTGGCAGTATGTCCTCCCTGTAAGCTTTTTAAACACGTCAGCTGATCAGAGTCGCAGCTTAACAGATTGATATTACCAGTGTGAGACCCAGCTACAAGAAACATTGAATCCGTTTTGTCATGATAGAGCCCACCAATCAGATAGTCAATGGAACAGCTGGTGACTTTTTCCCTCATATCCTCAACTTTACAAAGTGTGATGGGTTCATCGGTGTCCACTTGGGCAAGATCCCACCAACAGAATCCTTCATCATGTGTCAAGCAATAAATCTGGTTGTAATCTTTGCCTGCCCAACCAAGACCACTTACTGAAGAATCAGAATTGCAAGTGGAACGCAAGGCATCATCTTCATTATCCTCTGCAATATCAAACACGTTAACAAGGCCATCAGTGGAACCCGTTGCCATCAGGCCTGGATTGGTTGGATGAAAGCGCACTTGAGTGATATCATCATTATGTGACTCTGAATAGACTCCAAGAGGTTGACTAGAATCGCTTTCAGAATTATATCTTGCATCCCAGAAGACCAGAAAAGAGTCGTCGTCTACTTTTTCAGTGCCGGCACACAAAACAAGGTCATTGCAGCTAATATCAAAGCTGATGAAAACATTGCACGGGTAGCCATTAAATATCTGCACAGCTTCTGCACCAGAAACTCTAACATCCCAAAGTTTTACAGTGGCATCACTGCATGCAGAAAACAGCAGGTTGCTGTTTGAGTGGGAAAAACGAACACCACTCAGCAAACAAGGGTGTGCATTATATTCTTGAAGGCAGGTCATGGTTTCCTTGTTATATAATTTAATTGATTTGTCAGAACACAAGATTGCAACTGTCTGATTGTTTGGTGCCTCCACTGCACTTGACATGCCAATGTCAAGTATGTAAGTCATGTTGTCTTTCATAGCCGACCGTTTTTCTACCTGAAGATCTGAAAATTGTTCTTCTAAACGCTCCATGGTGGAAATGTGTTTTTATCCTTTGACTAGAAAGATCTAGAATAAAATAAAGCAACATTGTTAGAGAAGAAACAAACCACATAGTTTTTAATATTCTCTAAAAGCTGCTAATGAAGAGCAAGCTTGTATTAATAATTATCTGGAAGAGGTAAAATTCTGCTGCTTACCTTAAGCCAAAAGCTCACTTAAAATTTACTTAACTCTAATGTCTGAATACATACACCAAAGTACACCTGAGGTTTAAATCTTCTAAAGTAGCCCCAGGTCCATTAACCTCTTCCATACCGGGCACTTTTACCCCCTTCCTGCCCAGGACATTTTTCAGCGCTCACCCTCTGAATGACAATTGCGCGGTCATACAACATTATACCCAAACTAAAATTTTATCATTTTCTTCACACAACTAGAGCTTTCTTTTGGTGTTTTTAATCACCACTGGGGTTTTTATTTTTTTACTAAATTAACAAAAAAAAAGACCAAAAATATTGAAAAAAAACCCCCACGTTTTTCTTTGTTTCGTTATAAAAATGTGCAAATAAATAATTGTTCTTCATAAATTTAGGCCAAGATGTATTCTGCTACATGTCTTTGTGAACCCTATAACTTAACTACAGACTAAATCATACATCCTAATTTGGGTTATTTTCACCAAACTATGGTATAGATCTGAATATTGATCAATCCTGAAGTACTGACGGCCAATCTAATTTCTTGAGGTCCAAGAATGTCAGAACAGTGCAGATATCCCTCAAATGACCACTTTTTGCAAAGTAGACAGTCCGACATATTTCATAATAGGCATGGCGAGTTTTTTGAAAAATTAAATAAATAAAAAAAATAAATAATTTTCACCATTTTTTTCTTACATACTGTCACCAGTGCAGTACAGCATCATCATTTAACTGGCATGGCAATGATCAGGGAAACTGACTGGTGACAGTACGAGGAAAAAAAAAATAATTTTTTTAATTAGTTTTACATTTTTTATTACTTTTTTTCCCTCAAGATTTTTTTTCATATTTCAGTATGACCAAAGTAGTATAATGTTACCATAGTACTACTTTGGGGAAGTGATCATTTTTTTTTTTTTTACACAATATGCTTATGGCAAAGAATTACTTTGCTAGAAGCAAGCATTTACCTGAATGACAGATTCATTCAGGGTTTTTTTTTGTGCTTAGCTGTGATTTGGCCACGGCTAATCACATGACACAGATGGGCTGTGATTGGCCCAGCTTGTGCATGTGATTGCTGTGACCATTCACAGCTAGATACACTTGTATACAATGGATGGCATGAAAGGAAGCCATCTATTGTATACAACTGTCATGTGACCTGCTGTGATTGGTCACAGCAGGTCACATGGTACTGGCAACGGGGCCGGTACACAGATCTGTCATCGGCCGTTTCTGAGGTACATGGCCGGTGACAGATTGCGCCACAGAGCGGCCCTGCGGGGAGGCACACTGCACATGCCTGAAAGGATGCCATATGGCATCCACCTGGAGGGACGAGCTGTTTAACCAGTTGCCGCCCAGCCTATAGCCAGATGGCGGCCGGGCGGCAACCGGTTAAACAGGACCCATCTGCCAACCTCCAACTTCCTAATAGCAGCGAGTCTGTTTCCAACCCACCTTTGGTAGGCAGACTCACTGGCAAGTAGGAAGGCGCAGTGGGCCAGAGTGTGACAACATAAGTAGCATTGGATATTTGCCTTACAGAGTGTGCTCTGTGGATCCTGGGTCACTGACAATTTAAGGATTAGAACAGGCACCCTACAAGGTAAAAAGCACCAACTGGTTTACCCTTTCACATAGGGAGATGACAGGTCTGTGTCCATTCCACTTAGGCAGAGTGGACATGGACACAGCCTGCTCTGCTCTATGGGTAGTCTGATGTAAACAGACCAGCTGATCATTTACACCCAACTGCCCTCCGTCCTGATCCTCCCAGGTGGAGGGGAATGGATCCGCCTCCGGTTTGTTTTGGTGAATCAGATTGGAAGTAGGTGGGTGTCATAAAATGGACATTTAAAAGTCCATTTACACCCACCACTCCATAAAAAAGGAGAATGGAAGGTCCGATTGGGTCCACCTGAAAAATGCACAGGTGGACCCAATCAAATTGCTTGTGTGAAAGGGAAGCAACAATCCCCCCCAAAAAACAAACTTTTAAAAGTTCAACTATAGTAATTTTTCAAAATGAAATCACTGTAGTGCTCAACCTATTCAGCACTGCTCTGCCATATATACACAGGCGGAAAGATCTTGTGTTGTCACTACAGCAAACTCTTCTCCTTGATGGTAGTCAGTATCTCCTCTCTAGGCATCAAGTCTACTGCTGTTCACACAGCCTTAGGGAGATGTTATGAAAGGTGCCATCTTCCATCCCTCCTCTTAGCTGAGCGGCCAGAAGAGCACTGGAACCCCTCTTATGACATCAAAAGGTACAAAGAGTAAGGTTTACAGCATCTCTAGAACAGGCAAGTCATTCAAATCTGCTGCATCCATTAAAAAAGCAGGGTGAGCTGTTTTTTTTTTTATTTTGACTATAGATGGACTTTAAGCTTACAATAATTGTTTCTGTAGCCTGATATGCTCCATCAGACTCATACTTGCATGCCTGCAAAAACATGACTGAATCACTTGAAATGTGAATCAAATGCACATTTAAATTCAGTATATTCTGCTGCAATACAATAGATTCCCATGGAGCAAAACACTTAGAGACATAATTGGCAGACCTATTTGTCAAACATTCAAGCTGACAGGATAAAAGGGAAATAACAGTCAATACGTATTATACCAGGGAAACCTACTGCTACTGTACAAATACAGTTCAACACGAACACAGAATTGCTATAATTTGGAGACACTGACTCCCTAGATGTTCGAGAAGACACTGGCTGTGACCTTTCAAGAATGTAATTAATGTTTTCTCTCAAATAAAAGGTTCATAAAAAAAAATTACAGCACACTACTTTATGAAAAAAAAAAAAAGCCAGTATGAATGCATTTTCATAATCACGGGAAAGAAAATGAAAGGGTTAAGAATTAAAAGGAAAAAAAAAAGCTGCCCCAAGTCAGATTGTTACAAAATGCCACATTTATGGACACCTGGCCATCACACCTATATTATGTGGCCAAAAGTATGTGGATAATCCCCTCCAAATGATTGGGTCTGAAAGGCGCTTCCAATGAAGGGTATTGTTCATGCTATAAGCATACAAAGCCATTTTAGATCCATTCCTGTCACATGTTCTGTCCCCCTAATGTAATGTACAGCGCTGAGCGAACCATTGGCGCTTTATAAATACTGTATAATAATAATAATTTGAGATGTCCAACCTTGTGGTAAGTCTGGGCAGCCTGTCTGTACCAGGATGACTGCGCCCCTATACACAAAGCCAGCTCCATAAAAACACGGTCTGTCAAATTAAAGTGTGAAGAACTCGGGTGGCCTACACAGAGCCCTGACTTCCATCCTACTGAACACACAATCTGAGCCAGGTCTTCTCATACAACAGTGGTCTCCAGATGCGGCTCTTTGCTTGCTTTAATCTAGCCCTTGGGACACCATTTCATCCACTGATACAAACAATGGGGCATAATTCCCCCACTGATACTAATGAAGGGGCACAATTGCTCCTAATGAATGATACCAACGATGGGACAATTTCTCCCTATGACAAACAATGGGGCCCAATGACACCAATGAAGGGGCACAATTTCTTCCAATGACATAAAAAAATGGTGTGTCAGTGTTCCCCCCATTGACCTACTCCTACTGGCCACAGTCTAGCCCCACTAAATTCTGAAGGACAGTAAACAGGTCCTTTGTTTAGAAAGTTTGGAGACCCCTATCATACAACATCATTTACTGACCTCACAAATTACCTCAAAATCCCAGACAGTCCAGAACCTTGTGGAAAGCCTTAAAGTAGAACTATATGCAAACTTTTTCTTTTCATTTTGGATGCAGCAAGGGAGGGTTATCACCAGTGTTAATTTATTTTTTTTTTTTTTTTTGTGGTGTCCCATTCCCTTCACTTCCTGTCCCATAGTCAAACAGGAAGTGAGAGGAAATCACTGCATATTAAAGGGAATACCTTGGGGACCTTCAGGTCACCAGAACTATTGTCCCAATTGGAAGATTTCCTCTCTATTACTTGTATGGGGGGGGGGGGGGCAGCCCAAAATTTTGGATTTTCTTTACTTTCACGTTCAATGATAATGGTAAAACAGGACAAAATATAAAGGGTGAATCTCCCTAATGGGGCCACAGACAATCAGGGTGGATTTGATTTAAATCAAACTGATTTAAATCACGATTTAAATCACTAGTCAGTAAGGCTTGATTTAAATCCTAGTTTTCTACATAAAGACTAATTCTTGCTGGTATAACTTTAATATGCAAGTAGATGAAGATTTTTAGAATAACTTTTCATATTAGTTTTTTTATCCCCAGTTTAATAGGTTAATCATTCATATTTGGACAACTTTTCTGTTGTACTTAGGAAGGAGAAAAATAATCATTACCTTAATAACAATTTAAATAGATTTATTCAACTGAAACAACAACATTACAGCATATGTGATTTCCTTAAACAAACATCCATGTTTTGTTAACTAATTTGGCTAAACAAAATATATATATTTTTAAGAAACTTAGGCTACGTTCACACTAGCCTTGTGTGCAGGCGGCAGAGAGGCGTTTGGGAAGCGTTTTTACCGCTTCCCAAACGCCTCTGCCAACTCTGCACATTACAGCACATGGTGCTGTTCTAACAGGAGCGTTTGCGTCGCGTCGCGGCAAAACGGACGCCTCTGGTCGAGTCAGGAGGCTTTGAAGCCTCCTATTCTCGTCTATGGTGCCGCTCCGCAAACGCCCGGCCGGCGTTTGCGGTGCGGTTGCGACGCGGTTGCGGGGCGTTTGCGGAGCGGTAACACCACTCAAATGCATTATAGGCGTTTGCCGGGCGTTATTAACGCTCGGCAAAC